TATCTGTAGTAAGAGGATTATTTTTTAGAGTTCTGTAGCTCAAGTAGGCTACGAACCTCTTACAAAGCACATCTCTCAATTCCTTCGAATGTTCGAGTCCACGTGTCTCCACCACAACCTTCATTTTTAGTGTAAACATACCAAATTGATGGAATACGTGTTCCTAAAGAAGTTTTTTTCCCTTCAACATTCTCTTTTTACTTCGAGATCTATATACTTACCATGCTAATGTCTTTAACGCTCCCTCCTGTATGGCTGGTTATCTCAAATATTTCACAGATACTGCCAGGTCGATCCGGGATAAAAACTTCGAACATCACGAGCCGGTCGTCAGCAAGAAGCCCTGGTAAAGAAAATTAAGTATCTTCAGGTGTCTCCGCAGTATATCCAGATTAGTTTCAAAGAACTGACCTTTTTCTACACTTCGCCCAACTACCGTACTATCGATATTTCCCCCAGTCAATATACAAACTACATTTTTGCCAGGACTTCCTTGAATAGAACCTTCTAGCAGTGCAGCAGGTCCCAGAGCAGCTGCACCTTCAACAACGGTCTGGAAGAAGATAGCGGTTTATCTTGGCGTCGCAGTAGATTTCACAATTTTGAAGGCTTTGCCGAAATATAGAGGTTCCAGGACTGAAATCCCAGATCATGTGAAGATTTTCTGCCTTTACTTGTAAAAATCTCAGTATCCTTGCTTTTTCAGCATTCTGACTGCAAAGTTACTGTCTTTAATCTTACCTTCTCCTGTTCAAGCAGTCGTAGGACACCCAGTGCCAAGCTTTCCTCTTTGACATCGATGATTTTCTCGATTTTATCTGAAAAGTTTTCTTATTCTAGAGATGCTTTCGAGAAGATGTTTTGAGCATCTTTTGTTAATTCACGCTTTCAAATGGGCTAAGAATCTTCATCATTAACGTCGCCTAGCGATGAGGAGTTAATAAGTGCACAGTTTCCAATAACAAAAATGTAAAAGCAAACTTTTTACTATATTAAATGAGTTGTATCCGGCTCTTGAAACCACCAGCGAAGACGCAAGCGAGTGCTCTGCTTTGATCCTTACCGGCTGCCCGCTCTTCATGGCTGACTAAATTTTGAGTAGATCATAACAGCTACATAAGATCAAACCGAATCCAAGAAGTAGATTAGCTCACGCTGAAACATGGAGCAGCTTTTGGCTCTACTGCAACTACTTTCGTCTGCGGAGAGAGTTCTTTGACAGCGACGCATATCCCAGCCAGAAGCGCTCCACCGCCGACTGGAACCACAACGGTGTCCACGTCTTTTACCTAGAGCAGGGAGCCTTGTCTATTTTCTATTTGGAGGGTTAAGTTTTACCTGTTCTAGTATTTCGATAGCGATAGAACCAGCTCCAGCAATAACATCAATATGATCATGACCATCAATGAATGTTCCTCCGTTTTCTTTAGCAAGTCTGAACGCTAGCCGTTTAGATTCCACATGGTTTTTACCCTGAAAAATTAATTCAGACAGAAGAGGAACTTGAAAAATTCCAGTGCACGAAAGGAATACGCTTTACCCTGAAAATGGCGAAGAACAAACCTCTACCACAACTTTTGCCCCAAAGTCCTTGCAAAGCGAGATAGCAGACAATGGTATGAACCTCGGAACCACAACAGTCAAGGGCACGCCTAACTGTTTAGCGTGGCATGCCATAGCCAACGCATAATTTCCATTTGAACCAACGAAGACCTAGAAATGGTGCAGTTGCTAGAAAATGCTTTTTTGAGGCAGCAATACGCTGAAGATGACAAACCCCTTTTTGCCGGTTTTCTTCTGATAAGGCCATTAAAGCATTTCGTGCTCCGCGCTCTTTGAAACTGCCAGTTCGCTAGAAAATGATAATTTTGTTGATTCAACTGGCGCATCTCGTTTAGCACTGACTAAATAAACATTAAACATCAAACATTAAACATATCGCTTGTTACGTATTAAAGGGACTGTTCATAAACGCTTCGAGTGCCAAATCTAAAGTCTGTTCTCAAAATCTGTACAACCTTTTAGTCGTGAGCGCTTCTAATGCCTCCTCCACGTTTACTAAACGCCTAATCATTTTTCGCAGATTTGGAGAAAGATTTGTAACCAACGCTTCAAACCAGAATATTACGGCCGTAGCAATCCCTCCGGTGAGCTCACCTCATGAAGCGATACGCGCGCTCGGCTCACCATCGGGAGGGTGTCGGTGAGATGATCTCACGAAAGCATCGATCGGCGCTATCACCGGTCATCGCCTCGTCTCTTGCCACGTGGATTGCGCAAATCCCGTTTCTACATGATTTCAAGATTTGCACACAAAGGTTTCAAGAAAACCACGTACGGACATGCGAAAACAGTTGCAATTTCTTGACGCAAAATTGCATGTCGACTCACGCTCACCGTAAGTCGACCGCGAACAACTTACGAGCCTCTCCGCGCCATACTGCGCTATTTCGCCGACCCCTGACCGCAGTGAATTCATGAAGCGATGGGCCACCTCACGAGATGAGATTGCCTCATGATTTCGGATCGCTGCGCTACCACGTCAGAAGTGAGCGTGGCATCCTTCAACGTGCTCGCGAACTTCGCCGTACATCCACCCCTTTCTATAGAAAAAAGTAATAGTTCCCACGGCCTTGTAGTACTTGTATTTGTATTTATTATGACACATGATGCAGTCGTAGAAAAAGAAAACAAATAATACAACAAAACGATACAACCGAAGGAAGAAAACGAAGCAGTGTATATAAAGGAAAGGGTTCAGTAAGACAAGATGGCCTTGCTAGCTAATCGTTGAAAACGATGGACCTTTGTCTGTGAAATGAGGTCAAGAAAACGTAACTTAAGATAAGAAGAACCAGCTTTTACAGTAAAAAAGTGCAACGTTGCCGCAGTTCAATGTTTGTTGTGTGAAATTTTAAAATACTGGCTTCTCATTCTAGATGGAACAAGCTTGTAAAAATTCGAAAGGAGGATTTTGTAAGTGTGGGAAATCAAATTGTGAACGGTGCAGACATCAAAATATCTCCTTCGGAAATGAAATGAGCAAAGCCCAAAATATTTGTTACGTTTTCTGAGCGAGGAATTTTAGAACCGAAAAAACTCCCTAACCTAACTATAAGTTTCCTTATGAAGCTATTCAGAATTTCTGCCGAATGCAGAATGCCCACATCTTATGTTTAGCACAGGGAAGGTGCTCAAGAGCGCCCAAGTAGGCGGGGCGAAGGGAACTAGAGACCCCCTCCGTGAGCAGGCTCCTGATTAGGGACGCAGAGTTCTAACCAGGG